TCTCTCTCTTCCCCCCGCCCCCGCCCCCGCCCCCCCCTCGCATCATTTTTCTCTTCTTTTTCGCTCCCTCTTTTTCGCTCTCTTTTTCGCTCTTTTTCGCTCCGTCTTCTCTTTTCTTCCTCTCTCTCTTCCCCCTCGTTTACGTCGTAGTGATTCGGCGCGCCATCCATGTCAGTCTATAAGATCTTCTTTGGCCCTTGCCGTCGAGATTGCCGTGTTTTTTTCTCGATCCCTTTCCCAGGGTACGAGGCGCTGGTACGTGGCTTCATTCTCTCTGTTGTAATGATCCTCTTCTTGAGTCACATCTGAAGCCTGTTGCATTTTGCTATCTTTTGCGGTCTGCGGACCTTGTGATGTGATTGTAGACTCCGATTCCTTTCTTTGCCCGGAATGGGCTTTGAGTATGGGCGCCCCTCCTCGAGGCTGTCGAGAGGGAGAAGTGAGAGGAAGGGAGGCGGAGTCGTAGCTTTCCTTCCTCGTACGTCCAATGTACGATTATTACTACGCTGTCTAATGATCGGTTATCTCCGAGGCAGCGGTCAATCCATCACGAATGATACACGTGGAATCTTGCCAGTCTCTTGACGATTTGTTTTCTGTACCTATGACTTGCGCGTTTCGGCGGGCGCCGCCGCATCCTATCACTTGCGCGTTTTTGTCGTATCCTACTTGTTGCGTTCGCCGGAAAGTGGTTTGTATGCATGTCACATCAAAAAGTGGTTTGTATGCGTTTACTGTTGGTGTATGGCTGTGCCACGGAGGGGGCCAATCACATCAGAAAGTGAGGCATAGCGCTCACGAGCTGTATTTGGGTGCCAGGCTTATGGGTGACAGGCTTATGTCAGCCGATCGTAGCAAGATCCGCGAGTGACAAGTGGCGGCGGCGGGCGCCGCACATCTTGTCGTTCATCCAGGTCTTCCCCCTCCATGGATATCGTCTTTCCTTTTCGGCAAAGCTTTTGTTCTATTGCTTTCCCCCTCCCCCCTCCATGGATACCGTGACCGTCTCACCGTTCAGCCCCCATTGTCGGTACCGCTTCTTCTTTGTCCCCGCGCGCAAAGCAACCTTGTCGTTGGGCAGTTGTCCCAAGTTTTACAAGATACGATGTGTTCCCCTTCGCTTGTTCTCCAGTTCCCCTCCGCTCTCCCCCCTCTCCCCCCCCTCGCGCCCTTCCCCTCTTACAGGGGGTAAACCGCGACTTTGTTTGTGAGACAGATAATGCACCCAACAATTTATGACTCCTCGCTCTTGGTCAATAGCGGTAGCTTCTCCCATTTCATCGTACCTCCGGGATACCTCATGACATTCTCCTGTCGAGGTGCGCTCTTCATCGTTGTGACGTTTGCATTAAGTAACACGTTCGCGTCTCGGGACGACGCTCTCAAAATCGTCAACTGCTCATCTTGTTGGCCATTTAGGTCGTGAGTTGGCAAAGCAGGGGTGTTTCGTTGCTCGCAGAGGACGCTGCAGCCTGCGTGAGAGTGTGTTTCACTGTTGATTGATTTGCTCTCACCTGGTGAAGCAGATGTCCTTCAGCTATTGAGAAGGCGATCTGAAAGTCATTCGATATGTGTGTGGGTCGACGACGGCTTTCTACGTCTTTCGGTAGAGGAAAATCTCGACTTCGATCCGTCGTCGATAACGGTGTGCGCTGGCCGGCGCGTGCCTCCTCAGCGTAGTGCGCTTGGTCCCCTCCGCAGTGCGGTGCGCTTGGTTCCCCCCGCAGCGCGGTGCACTTGGTTCCCTCCGCAGCGCAGTGCGCGCGCTTCGCTGCCACCACCTGATAAGCGAATGCGTCGGAGTTCTTTTTGCTCGCTCTATTGTCTAGCATTAGGTGTCGAGTCTTCTTTGCTAAACGGTTGAAGATTTGCGCAAATGTTTTCTCGAAGACTTGGTTGGAATTTTCTCAACGCACTGCGCTTCGCACTCGGCAGTGCGTCGGCACCACCGCAAAAGACTGTATCGACATTTTCCCCGTTGTACGGCAATGCACTCCCAGAGTAGCGTGCGGAACTATCTTCGCAGAAGACGAGGAAAGTGCGTTGGCGCGAGGGAATGAGAGAGATAGTAAAGAAGAGAGGGACACACACACACACACACACACAGAGAGAGAGAGAGAGAGAGAGAGAGAGAGAGAGAGAGAGAGAGAGAGAGAGAGAGAGAAGGTGAGGATAGCTCTTGTCGCTGATGGTTTCTCTATTCTCTCANTCTCTATTCTCTCATTCACACAGAGAGAGAGAGAGAGAGAGAGAGAGAGAGAGAGAGAGAGAGAGAGAGAGAGAGAGAGGATAGTTCGAGTCGCTGATGGTGTCTCGACTGTGTGTGTGTGTGTGGGTGGGTGGGTGGGTGTGTGAGAGAGAGAAAGAGAGAGAGAGAGAGAGAGAGAGAGAGAGAGAGAGAGAGAGAGAGAGAATCGCCAACACCGTTATTTGTGTACTCTCAGAGTGGTGGAGGCTGGGAACGCTCGGGTCCTTGTTTGTCGCTCTTTTCTTAGGCCTGGATCGCTCTTGATGACGCGTGCGGTAAACAGCATGGGATCATTTTACGTGGCATCAGCTTGGGCGCAGTGCGCGTTCCTGTGTGCCTTTCTGTAGTTGTTTTCTGTTGTGTTGAAATGGATTTCGATGCTTTTCTTTTCAATCTCATGAGTCGGCAATGATTTCCCCCCTCCCCGTGCTTGTGGCATCGTCTCCTCCTCTTCGCATGCTTCGCAAGCCCACTGGAGCTCATCGAGTAGCTCTCCAGTCGGCGCACATGTTATAGACTGTGAGCGGATGCACGTGGTCTTTTAATTATGCTTTCCTTGATTGGTACATTGCAGTCCGGTGCTGCTATTGGGCCTTCCGCTGCTGCAAAACAACATTCTAAATGAACTCGGACCGAATAACGGTCCGGTACATTCGAACTGGTGGATCAGTCCGAATGTATGGGGTGCATATTCAGAGATTAAAATGCATGTAGAGAGAATTATTATTTTATTATTATAAACGCTTATACATCGCGATCGTTCCAAGTGCTCCGTTCTGTGGGGACACCCTCTTTTTCCAAGTGCTCCGGTCTATTATGGGGGCACCCTTTTTTTTGTTCTATTTGTCGATTGTCTATGCAGACTGTATGCTTTTTTTATTTTTTATTTTTATGACGAAGTTGGGGAAATATGAGCGCGAGCTGAGTGAGCTCTTTAGTCGAGGGAATAAGAATGAGAGTGGCAAATGGTTGAAGGGGGGGAAAGGGGTGAGAGGCGGCCACGTGGGGGAAGAAGGTGAGCACTAGCTTATAAATCCGAATAGAACGCCCGGTCATTAAAGCTGTATTTGGCGCAATTTCCAGTCTGTATACAGGCACGATGGGGTTGCATTCGGGTAAAGACGGCAGCTGACTTTTGCTGTGGATCTTCGGGAAAGCGGTGAGAGGCGGCCATGTGGTTTTGGACTAGACGATTTTTTCAGTTCACGAGACGATTTTTTCAGTTCACGAAATGATTTTTTTCACTTCCCGAGATGAATTTTTCACTTCCCGAGATGATTTTTTCACTTCACGAGATGATTTTTTCACTTCCCGAGATGATTTTTTCACTTCACGAGATGGTTTTTTCACTTCACGAGATGACTTTTTTCACTTTCGGATGTGCATGTTCGATTGTTCGTGTTTGCCGAAGGATAAAACGAATGTCTGGAGGAGTGAGTTGAAAAAGCTGCTATTAAGACCGAGGAAACGAGAACGAAGGGGAATGGAAGGAAAATGATTATTGATACAAGAGCTGGGAGGCAAGGAAAATGACCGGCAAGGCTCTTGAATGGGGAATGAATGGGGAAAAGCACTCGAATGGCTATCAGGATCCTTATTACCGTTTTCATCTGATATGACTTTTTCATTGTGTAGTTTTTTTTTTTTCTGTTTTTTTTTTAATTTCTTTTTCTACGGATTTAATCGCTTTGTCGTATTTGTTGGGCTTGTCATTGACATCGTGCATTCCCTCCGTTTCCCCTTAGTTCGATCGTTGTCAAAT